TAAAGTGGAGAGAAGGTGAGGGGGGGAGCATGTGTGAGAGTCTGGGAACAGACGCTGGTCCTGCATCCTCGCAGCCCATCTCAGCTTGGCACAAACACCCTACCCCTCGTCTCCAGCCCCCTTCAAACAGCTTAACCACGGCCCAAACAGCCTGGCAGCGAAGCAAAGCACTTCCACTTAACCATATCAAAGTCAGCCTGGCGCTGCACTGAAAGAGCATTTAGCCCTGAAAAAAAAAAGAAAGCCCTATTCCTCAGAAACGGCATGAGCAGCCAGGATGGACGTCTGCGTGGTTTTATAGGCAGCCGATTTTCATGTTGTTTTGTTGTTATTTATATGTGTGCTGGAGATGGCTTTGAACTGAAGACTTCTGATTGCCTGAAGAACCTTTTGATCAACTTGGAGGACACGCAGCTGAAGAGATAACGTCAGCTCAGTTGGAAAGCCTTTAAACAGGGCTAGATTTTTAAAATTCGAGGAAATTCATGCATCCCTCTGGGTTAGAGGGCCCAGGAAGCAGCAATCTGGCAGGTAGAAACCTGCTAACTACTGGCAATGTCTTCTGACAGAACAGTCAGGGCTCACTTCACAGACAGTTCCTCCTCAGCCCTGCTGCTGTTCCATTTATCTGCTCTGGTTCAGCTGGAAGATCCACCGTGGGTGGTTTCAGTGGACAATGGATGCCCTATGACCCTGCCTCATCCCCAACAAACCCGGAGATGCATTTGTAAAAATCACTGGCCTGATTCTCGCATTTCACTTGCACTGAGTCCCAACACGTGTGGATGCTGCGATAATGCAATTTTAAACCTAGTTTGCATGCTTCCAATCAACACTGATCACAGCGGATCATCTGTCAGAAGAACAGAGTGACACATGACACAAAGAGCCGCACACGCACATGTTCGAGGCTAAATATACTCTCCGTTTTACAGTGTCGGAGTTCAATTTCCTGAAGTTGTTTATTTTCAGAAAAGCGTGAAGCCCCCAAAACAAATTATTATTCTATAAGTTTAATTATGTGATCTAAGAGATTTATGTAAGGGGTTGAAAATAAAATTATTATAGGCTTCCGTACGTTTATCCTCCACTAAGCTCCATCCTCAGTGAAATCAATTCACGCGTCGCCTTGATCCACTAACCCAGTGCCCCGGGGAATCAGCCTTCCTCCACAGTGGGGAAAGAGGAGTTCCCCTGAATGAGCGCACCACACCAAACTACGAGCCTATTTTGTTCCCGGTTTAACCCTCTGTGAAGTAGCACCGAACAATGCTTCAACCCACCTCTGGAAAAACTTCACGACAGCGGCTCCTCAGCGGCGTCTCCGACCGTCTACCTGCGCCTCTCCATCCATGCGTAAGAAAAATATATATATAAAAAACACAAAAGTGATTTCTCGCTTTCTGCGCGGAGGGTTTTAGCGCCGATTCAGTGACAGTTCAGAAAATCTCATTCCCAGAGAGACGGACCAGCTGCCCGGATGAGTGATGGATGATCGTCGCTTTATTTTTCACCCCCCCCCCACCTCGACGAACAGTCGTCGCGGCTCCGACCAGAGCAAACACTGAGCCCACTCACACATTCCAGTTTGTGTTTGCAGCGCTCCTCCTGAACAGCGGCGGCCAATCAGAGGCGGAGGATGTCACGGGGAGGGCGGGGTCGATCTTTTCTGTACCCTAACCACGGCTGAAGAATGACCCCCAACTCCATCGTGTGGCGGTGGGGGTGCCCGTACGTGCATTCATTTACGCGTCTCTCCCTTTGTCTCCATCTCCGAAAATGAACGAGCTGTATTATCGTGAGTTTCAAAGACTGAATACTTCTGTTATTTAATATCTCACCTTGATAACCCTGCAAAAGGTGGCCAATATCAGCTGAGATCATATTATTGCACAATTTTGCAGACTTCTTTTGGTGCTTTTTATTGGCTATAATCTACAAGCTAACACTCATACAGACATCAGACAGGGTTACTGCACTGTACGCGCATTGGTTGATGTCTCAGCATGCTGTGAAGCTGCCCTGTTTTATCTGCTGTGTACAGTGTAGATAATAAAAACTTGGCACAGATAATAAGGGGAGACTGAGAGCCAATAGGAAACATTTTTCCCTCTCTGAGGAATTATTTGGAGTGTCTCTCTTTTATTTTGATCTATAAATAGTCCAAATGACCATTTTTATTATTTCTATATATAAATATGTGTAATAAATATGTGCCAAGCTAGTGATGTGCAATTAAAAGGAAAGACCTTCATAAACATGCTGTTTGTAAAGGTTTATCAGCTACAGGATATGATCTGCACTTCATAAACCATTCACTAATAGGGATGCGTTCATGCACACTCACATTAGAGAGAATATAGAACAATGTATTGAGTTAGATTATGAATTATCTCCATGTGCGCTCTGGACAGCAGTGGGATCATGTTTAGGAAGCTTTCATAGCTTTAAGGAATTAAAATAATTTCATGCCTCATTCTGCAACATTTCACCAGTGCCTCGCTGTTTCATTTCTCTTATTGTCAGGTTGTACGACTGATTATATAATTACCCGTGAATGTACATCTTAGCACCAACAGATTATTCCAAATCACCTCGTCAGCCTGTTTGCCTCAATAGGGGTTTGCTGGGAGGTCTTTTCCTTGGAAAGCAAGCTGCAAACTAACCGAATTACATGCGAGGGAACCATGAAGAAGACAAACGCTTCCATCTTTAGAAGCTACAAACAGCATGAAGCGCAGGTGCTGCTATTTGAGGCCGAGGGAAAATACATTTCTGTGGCACGACTTATGAAGAGCGACTCGTCGTGAAGTGCTCCTGCCAACATAATTGCCCTCCATAAGTGGATACATTGTTCCGCTGAGTCCATACAAATCCAATTCAGCTCACCCTTCCAAGAAGCAAAGGGAGCAGAAAATGGCTTGTCCCTTTTAATCCATCAGCTTGGTTTTTAGTAGAGAGAGGGACTTTTAAAACGACTCACCGATATGATTAATCTTAGAGGGTGGGTTCATGAGGTTTTCACGCAGGTTGGAAATTGGTCAGTTTCTTTAATTTTGTGTTAAATTATTGTCTTTTCTTAAAAAAAGACCAAAGGTGCTCTTTAGGGTGAGAAGCTGTGATCAGATATAAGTGGCACAAGGTCTAAAAGAATCAAGAAGAGGCTACAGAGATGCATAAGGTGGCTAAACATTGTTAGAAACACCTTTAAAACACATCTTTCCGTCTTCAGGACTTCTGATCGGCCAGCTGTACAGTGCATTGGAGGGAAAGCTGGGTTTGCTGTCCTTTAAACCTTTCCTGGATAAGTGTGCAATAAAGTGTAACACATGCCCAAATCAATCTTTATTAGCAGAATTTTAAACTGAACGGATCGCTGATTTCACCAGCGTCCTGCAGTAGTTACAGCAGGAAGGGGAACCCTTTCACTTGTGACCACAGACTGCTCAGCTGTGATTCACCGAGTGTATTAGTTCCTTGTTAAAACATCGATAAAAAGGTAGAGAAATCCACAGAACTCATAATCTGACAGAAGTAGGCTAGCTCAGTCATAAATCAAAGCCCGTTGAGCCATCGACCTTACGGACAGCTTTCTTGGAGCGTGATTTCGACATGACACGAATGTAGCTTTAGGGAAACAGAAGAAATGAGATGACTGTGAATCTGTAAAGTGAGCTGACAAAGTGACTCAAATCGTCAAAGTCATTCTTGATTTAATTTCTACTTGATGGGAAATGCATATGCCGGCCATTAGGCTGCATAACGATGATGACAGATACAGACAGAGAGGAGGGATGAATGAAAGACGGATAAAGGTTTAGAGGAACGACTTGGAGGAAATGTCCTTATTGTATTTCTTGCTAAAAGTCAGATGATGATTTAAAGTGTTTATGTCTGAAGGGAAGCCATAAAGCCACCATTTGGCTTAACGACATAATGCTAACTTTCTGAATTGTTTTTATCACCCTAAGGCATCTCTTCCTCATTAGCAGCTCCATATGTTCTGCTGTCAGCGAACTTTCCCCACCTGAGCCTGCCAGATAAATGCAGCCACTCACCTCAAACACGATCATTACTCAGCCTTCGTCTTTCACACTAACTGTGGCCGAGCGGTTCATCCCTATTTTTTAATCATCTTTTCAGCAAATACATTTTTATTTGCTCGTACTTTGTGTTGTGCATTTTGCTGTTAAATCTCAGGTCCAGTAGAGCCAGAGAGTTGGTTTCCATGAGCTCCTCGATTAGCACTAACACACACACACACTCTCTCTTCCTCTCAGCTGTTGGACAGCCCAGCCTGTAATTATGGCTGTCATCAACAGCCCCTGACCAGCAGCTATATTTACCTCCGTGTACATGCACACCACAAAGAGAACAACATATAGACCAGGCAGACCAGTTACATACAAACAAAACCACACATCTAGCAATATGTTTTTAAAAAAAGCCTGCATACCTAAACTAAGGCTAAAGATTTCCTCCACATGCGCGAATTGAGTTACACAATCAAGGAAAATCTGGATCTGAATCAGTTTTTGTCCAATATATTATCCTATATTGCTAATGAATCAACTTGCTCTAAAAAGTTTGTCCCTTCTAAGTTCTGCCAAGCAAAACACCTCAGGTAAAATGCTCGTGCGCACCTGTCCAGAACTTAATGAGTCATCTTGCTAACAAACAGGCAGACAAGCAAACAAATGAGCTGGAACAGTTACATAACGCCCTCAATCAAGGTTTAAAAAAAGAAGTGCTTTTTCCTTTCTCCTTCCTTCTCTGGTGTGCTCCAGCTCTGTCAGTCCCTCCCTGATTTAAACTGCACTTAAAACATACTTGTTCCACACTTGTTATGGTGGCTGCCAGCGTCTCCTGACTTCTTTGACTTTAAAACCTTGTTTCTGTGTGGGTATAGCTGCCAAGCGTACGTGGGTGCATACCCTGTTCACATAAACCTACACACCCTTTCATATACACAAACTATGAATGGAAGAACTTCCACTGACCTCCCAGCAGCACAGCTCCTTTCCTTCCATACCAACCTCCGCCGCTGCTGCTGTTCACCACCTTCAGTCTCCTGCTCGGCCTGTAGCGCAGCATTGAAACTCTTGTCTCTCTCTGTAGCTCAGATTCTACTTCATTCAAACTTTTTTATTATACATTTTACTCTTTTCTTGATCCTTTTCCCATATTCCCTCATCTCTGCTTAACGGCATTTGACTGCCAAAGCCACGATGATTTCAAAAGACCACATGACTGAAGAGCCAGGAGGTCAAGGCTAAAGGATGTACAGGCACAGCTGATGATGATGTGTGTGTGACTGAAAGGCTGAGTGCCGCCTATGCTCAGATTACTTGCCTCGTTTAGGTCGAATCATTGTTGAATTTTTCTCCTCTGAATCCAACACCCATTACGACATCAGCAGCTCTACTTTCATTAAAACCACGCTTTATTATTTGCTATTTATTTATGTGCTCTAAATATGCAGCTGCTTTTACTGCTGCCCAAACAATGCACAGATTTAATAGGTAACCACGAGTGTAACTCACAACATTAATGAAGCTTCTGCTCTTTGCAAGTTATATAAAAGGGAAACTCAAGCTTTGTGTTGTGAAATATGTTTCAGTCTTTGTTTCAAATCCATTTCTCAGTACATCAAACATGTTCTGTGGCTAGTTTTCAGTTCCGGTTGATTGGAACAATCAGCAACACTCATAAACCTCAGAATTGGTTCAGTTTACTGCACAAAAAACCCCCTCTGTGTATAGACTATCATTAGGGTATTGACACACTGGATGCTGGCATGCATGTGAATGAGAGAATTATCTCTGGTCTGAATCTCGGTGGAAATCCAAGTGGACAAAGGCACCAAAACGAGGTGCTGCAACCTGTTCCTGTGCAGTTCTTGTGCACAGCTCTGCGCTGCCAGAGTAGTGCACGTCTTTCTGGATCTGTTCTACTGTACGACATGCTGGGAATATGCTCGGCCAAGGGTGGCTTGGCAACTGGTTGCATCCCATCAGAGGGACCCATACCTCATTTTCAATGTCTTCTACACACACATAAATATATCATAAAATCTATTTAAAACACAATCTTGTTCTTTATTTTTGACAAGTATTATCACTACTGTGAATAAAGTTTATTTAAAGCTGCTATAAGTTTGTACAAAGCTGCCTATTATTCAGTACGTCTCTCTGAGTCAGACGTACTGTACAGAGGTGAATCAATTACAGGCCGTGTACAGGCATGGCTCCATGGCTCCTGTCTGCTTTGGTCTGTAATGACAGCTTGGCTGTTGCAGGTAGACTCCTGGCCCCCTTGGGGCTTGGAGGCATCCCATGCATGTGTGTGTCAACAATATCATCCAACTCACAGTCAGAGTAACCTGACAAGGCGTGGATGTGTGTTATAGAGCATGTTTCTGACTCTGTATAGATTTAAAAAGCTCCACAAATGAAAAGGAATTCAGCAGCGAGGCTTCTTACTGGTTTTAGCAGACACTACCACATAACCATCTTTAGAAATGGTTAAGAAATGTGACTGACTGGTTTTAAAACACGTCTGTAAGTGGTGAATTCATTTCATTAAAATACAGTTTGAACTGTTTTAGTTTGGAATTTGTTATTTATAGTGAAATGTTGCCGTGGAATGATACCACTTCGGTTAACATTGTCGCCTAACAGCAAGAAGTTTCTAGTTTCAAACCTCCTTGGCCTCTGGAGCCTTTTTGGATGATTGCAGGTGCTTCCTGCAGCTGCGTGGGTTTTCTGCAGGTGCTCCTGATCCCCCCCCCACCTCCACAGTCCAGCCGATGTTCATGTTAGGTCAGCTAGTGAGTCTAAATGGGCCTTAGGTGTGGATGTGAGCTTGTACTACTTCTTCCTGATGGGTGGCATACCTGGAAAGAGAACTCTGCAAGATCCAGGTAACTTTCTCAGGATTTATGCTTGTGCTTAACCCTCACTGGTGGCTTGTCCATTTAAATTACATGCACTCTGACTCAGTGCCAAATAACAGGCGCTAATCTGCTCTGTGAAGAGCCATGGGTGGCCTGCTACGCTCCATGCTCTAAACAGAGTTACCTCACTGTGAGAGTAGTTCCAAACCACTAAGTGTAAATCTCGCACGCCCAGTGCTGACCACAGCACACACTGCCATGGTAACCGCATGAGAACTGTAAACCGAAAGGTGAAACTGCCGCCTTTCATATAAACCACGTGCAAATATCAGTGAGCAACAAAAGGGCTGAGATATGTCTGCAGAGAGAGAAAGATTTCTGCTCTTCCATCATCTGGCTTACTGAATGTTGCACCATCAAACGTCCCCTTTGTTTTTGTTGCTCTTTTAATTTTTCTCTCGCCTCTCATTCAGTGAGAGCTGCAGAAAATAATAATAGTAATAATAGTTGTAGGCTTCTGGCTAAAGTAGGTCAGTGAAGCCAACTGTCAGAAGCAGGAAGAGGGGAGATGTAGAGCGGAGCAGTAATATGCCAGCTACACTAGGTCCCCTCAGGTCAGAGCTTTCCCCAACACAGAGCGGCCGCTGACGCATGAACTGCAGGACTGTCACGTTAGTCTGTTAGCGTGTTGCGTCCCCGTGGACAGAGACGACATCTGTGGCCACACACTGGAGGTTTTGTGTGTGGGTGGACTGCCAGTGTGTGAATTTTCAAGGCAGTTTTCAAACAGGAATGGCTCAGTGCATGTGTGTGTCTGACGGCGGGGCGAGTTAGTTCACATCAGTCTCGAGCTCAGCCCGCTCCCCCTGTCGTACTCACTCTGATAACAGATATGCATTTCCATTGATAGCATCCCCGACAAACCAGTTTGTGATCGGCAGTCATGGGAGGGGTGAGTGTCTCTTTATGTCCTATAAAAGTTCAGCTCAAGCTGACAGACAGCAACAAACATCGGCCAAATTACTGCCTGGTCTGACCACCGTGCTGCCCGACTGAACTCTCTGTTTTTGCTGCGGGGAAAGCTCTTCATCTAAGTCTGATATAATCATGGTGTGAATTTCAATTGCAGCTTACACACTTTAACAGTGACGTGAGTCACAGGTATGAGGGTTTTCATTATTAAGACAGTATTGTCTGCTAGACCCCAGTGCCACAGATTCTGATGCTATAAAGAAGAGTAAAAGGGAAGCAAAAACAAATATAATTTTAGTGCCAGACGATATAAGCAACAATCATACCAAATACTGAGATTCCTTGTGTAATTTCTCCAGAAATACTGCCTTAAACAAGCTCTGGCAAGACAAGCTTTAGCCCAGATATCAGATTTTGCACTACGCGATTATGGTGCCGTGATAAAATGATAATATTGTGTGTAAACATTTTGAAAAAAGTGCTTTAAGTCAAAATCATTCTCAACTTCCACGGTAGTGGTGACTTTAACTAGCATAACAAAATAGTAAATGCCAAAGCCATAACATAAGAGCGCCAACAACAACCATAGAGGAAATCAGAACATCCGAAAAGACTGGACCTAAAAAATATGTATTATTGTCTTACATGAGGCAAATGATAAAAATCTATCTAAACAGGCCTGAACAAATGTTACTTACATATCAAGTGTTCAGTTTGTACAGCTAAACCAGAGCACTAAGCTGCAGTGGTTCACTCAGACCTGCCACAAGCAGGGCAAAGGAGGGCATTTAAAGAGAGCAGCTAATGTTAGCTCCAAAACCGCCTTTCATGATGGAACATGAGTGTTTCCTGACCAGTTGGTTTGTGGTTGCTAAGGGTTGATGCTAATCGCTAGAAAAATGATTGGTAAAACTCCAGGAATGAGATGAGTCTCATAGGAGCACGCACTTGGTGACAGTGGGAAGGAAAAACTCCCTTTGAAAAGGATGCTCAGGGAGATGCAGCCATCTGTTTTGCATTTAAATTTCTGCCCCAGTCTGATACTCAGTTTGAATTTCAGCAGCTCCTCTTGAACATGCCTATATGCCTAAATGCACTCAGCTGCCACCATGTGATTGGCTGATAAGACATTTGCATTAACAAGCAGTTGAGCAAGTTCTGACAAACAAAGCTAGTCATTAACTGAGTCAGGTTTGACTGCACAGCTGTTTTTCACATCTAAAATGGGCTTAAAGGATTTCCAATGCAACAAAGAGTTCAGACTCTAAGTGCAGCGCACTATATGTTGCAGAAGTTTTCGGTCTTGTTCTCTGCAGTCTCGTTCTCTCTCATCGCACAAGCACTTCAGTCTCACCTGGAACCACTCAGTATTTTATCGGCATCTTATTCTTTCTACAAAGTGGGGTAGATCATAAAAACACTTGATGCACTAGTGCTGGTTTAAATGACGTAAAATTTGCTAACTATCTAAAACTGAAGTCAGCTTTAGGCACTGCGCTATCATGGCTCGATATCCTCTTTGCTCCCCACTCATTGGTCGTGATCCACTGTCATCGGGCACAATGTCAGCGGGGAAGGATTTGGTTTCCTCTGCTGCACAAGGCAAGTACAGACAAGAGGCTAAGAGGGGAAAAATGGATTTATGAAATCCGACCAGGCTTCTAGTCTTACAGCCTTCTCCTGGAGCTCTGTATGTTATGCTAATGGCTCGTGTTAAGTGTGCGCGCTCGTGTTGTGGGGGTGCATCACTCATCTCACCCTCAGGGCAAAGAGATAAAAGCTTGTACCGTGGAAGCGAGATAGATTTCATGTCATCAGAATGATAACATAATAAGAGCTCATCAGTACTCATATGTGAAGCTGTGATTTGATTATGACTTTGTGAAATGAAATTAAGCATGTGGCTGTGTGGTAATATATAAACCTCTGACTCTCATATTGTTGCTTAACCGCATTACAATGAGGTGCATTCAGCTAATGCTGCATAAAACACACAACCCTCAACTTTTACAGTGGATAAAAGTGTTTTCACCTCAGTCCAGCTGTCTTTTCCCTGTGTCCTTATTACCAAAGAAATGCAGTTCCTCCACTGCTGCCTCCTGTTGCAGGAGAAATTCCTGTACAATGGAAATGAATCCCCAATTCTGGGGCTTGAGACATTGTTCCTTTAAGAGAAGCCTGCGTGTCGAGTCATGCTCCTATTTATTTGTTCATCCTTAAAATCTCAGGTGTTGATTAGCTGCAAACCTTAAAGAAAAGCCCCCCTGGCAAAGGCTTAAAAGAGTGGAGGCTTAAACACTACATCAAAGGCGTAAACGGTTTCAGGGGTAGTGCCACTTCACGCTATCGCTCAAAGCTCCACTTGCCTTTCACCTCGGTGAAATTCTGCAGAATCCACTGTGCTTCGGGCAGCTTTCAAAAACTGCACTGCATTAAAACAAACAAACAATAGCTGGTGAGGTCAGCAATTAGTGGTTTTGTCATGTAATTAGCAGTCTGCAGTCAGGGTAGGGATGAATCCTGTTGTGCAAGAAGCAGGAACAATGCAAAACATTCCTGCACGAGAGCAAGAACCTTTTCACAGATTTAAATATTTTGAAGGACTTACTTCCTTTGTGGTTCTCTAAACTTTAACTCAAGGTGCTCTGAGGCCTCCCTGATACCGACAACCCTCCTCACTTGTGACTGAAAGCCTCTCTTCATGCTTTCTGAGCTGACCCAGTTAGTCAAACACTGGTTTATTTAAATACCAAACACCAACACATTACTCCATCCATGGCGCCATCGATCCAGCGCTCAACTGTATTTTTACTGTCCTACTATGCCTGCTCCCGTTTGAGACGTGCCGCTCTGTTCTACTTTGTTTTTGCGCACAGCCACAGAAGTAGACCAATAATCACTCTCTGGACTTCACATGACAGGAAAAGAAGGAGTTAAAGAGTTTATTCTGGTCTCAAAGAAGCTACTGTTCACTTTTACTGATGCAATCTAATTTTCTGTTTTTCAGAGAGGCTTCAAAAAGGGAGATTGCGCATGTGTGTGTGAATGTGTGTGTGTGTGTGTGTGGTGGGGTATAGAAAAAGGTGATAAGGGTGTAAAGTGGACCCACTGTTTCTTAGCCTCTGTGTAAAACCACTTAAGATGTTTCACTGTAGTTTCTTTGAGCTTTAAGCAGAAACGCTCAGGTCCGGTGGGAGTTCATGCAGAGGTGATTATGCATGGACTCATGAGCGTGACTCTGAATCATTATACATAAATACGCATGTGCGATAGCTGTTCATGCAGTAGCTGCTTTCTTTAAATGGGCGATTGAGAAATTTCTCTCTACTAATACTGCGACACATTAAACAGAAGTGAAAAAACACCTCTAAAACTCCTAATGTTGATTTTTGTGATTGCACATTTCAGCCACTGTATCACAAATAAACACAGGGGGGTAACACATAAAATAGGTGGCAATGATAATATCTGTGAAGTTAGTCCAAAGGTTTAATCTCACTGTAAACATCTGCCAAGAGACCTGCACATGACACTTTCTCACGTGTTCCGACTCAGAAACACAGAATTTAGTTTTGCATACTTTATGTAGCATCTTTCACAGACAGCTATCATAAAGTGATTTACAGAAGACAAACATTCATGAATACAGTGGGTATAATCTGGTCAACATGTGCTGATCTGCACACTGTGAGCACACTTATCACGTCCCTACAAAGCAGCTGCTTTTTGGCAGAGTACTTTGAAACAGATTGTTCCTGTGAGCAAAGCTAACCGAGGCTTTTTGTTAATTCATACGACGTGAACTGGAGTCACAGAGTGTGTGTGAGTGGGGAGGAGAGGCAGGAAAAGGAGGAGAGAGAGTGTGTGCGTGTGTGTCGCTGTGTATCTGCTATGTTCAGGCACTCTGACATTTCTGCTGCCAGGCTAAAAGTAGCACTCCTTTAGTCATAATTCAGCTCAGCACAGAGGCAGAAACGTCTGTGAAGCGCAGAGCTAACAAAACTTCACATACACTCCCTTTTTCATAACGGCAATTCTGAATTCAGTGCCACATTGGGGTATTGTTATAGCTGTTGTAGTGAGGGCTGTGATGTCTGTTACTTCCTTCATCTGGCTTTTATCTGTGCGTTTAAGACACCACACCATGCTTTTCATTAGACTCTACAAAGCGATGACACTGATGAGTTTCATGCTTGTAATTCTCAGCTATTTCTAAATGAATGGACACTTATTTTTAGACAGAAACAGAATGAAAGCAGGCTTCATATCTGGAGCCAAGAAAGAAGAATTTTGCCAGTGTTTTGTCAGATTTCTTCTTCGAATCTTATTTCCTGCGTTGTGGTTAGGATTAAGGTTTAACGTTACAGGAGGAAAAAGGTCTTTCTCATGCTTTGAGAAATGTAACTCCTACTTTCCCCCTGAATTCGCCGTTTGACCCCTTGTGGTGTCGAGGGCCGTTACAAGCCTGCAGAACCATGTCACACACTTTACGCTGAGCGCATTCAACACAACGCTGATGTGTGCATAGGAAAGATGTGAAAGATATGCAAATGGTTCACTAACTGTGATTTGACTGAGAAGGGAAATAGGACAATTGTAATAAATTTGCATTTGGCACCAATAAAAATGAAACACACACACACACACACACACAAAACAACAGAATAAGCCCATCGCTAATCCAAAGAGCTAATTACAACAGAAAATATTAGTGATCCGTATTGTGCAACCTTCCTCTGAGTCTATGAATAAACACACTCATGCCTGCTGGCCAAGTGGCACATGAATCCGTGTGCTGTGATTGGCTGCTTTGTTGCACAGAGTCATGTGTACCTCCTGGCAGCGCTGTTCAAAGGGAACGTCACATTACCATCGGTGAGTATCAGTCAGAAGTGGGTCAGTGGAGGCATTTACATACGTCGCACACCAAATGACGAAATAACTCGGAATATCCTCCTCCGCCCCGTCCACTCGCCACCTGACAAGCTGCAGCAGAGCCTTTTTAAGCCTGCGCGGACCCTAAAGATAAATGTATTAATGTATCAAAGGGCTGGTGTTAGTGTGTGTAATCCAATCAGTTAGTGTGTAATTTAACTGCTAAGAAAAGCCAGTGTAAACACAAAACATGGGAGAGCACTTGTAAAGCTCTGATGTGAGGCATTTGCCTCTGTGAATGAGAGTAATCGACCATTTTGCCACTGATGCAGGGATGTGCTTATCAAAACGAGGAAGGGAAACAGTTTCACTGGAATTAAAGGGACAGTTTTTGGGAAGTATGTGTTTTGTTTTCTTGCCAGGATCTAGATTTGAAGAAACACCATCGTCTGATGAGCTTATCTTAGCGTAAAGACTGTCAAAAGTACACTGTTTTTTCCCGCTGTCGGTGCAGATAATGTTGCAGAGCCACTTCTGCCTTGGCCAGCCTGCATTGCAACAGGTTTGAGAACCTGATGTTACGTAGCAGAAGTTGCATTCATGGCCAACAAAATCTGCAGGTTCTGCATCATTTAAATTTTTGCAGTAGCCGCTTCCCATAACCGCTGATATCACTGGTTCCTGCTCTGGACCCAGCCTTTTTGTGATGGAAATGATAAATGGACTTGTTCTTATAGTGCTTTTCAAACTCTATTTGAGCACTCGAAACACTTTCTTCCTGCACGCCTCAATCCGTCACATTCACACAAGCCATTTTTTCCCCGCCTAAGTGCTTTCAACCTAAAACTCACACAGTCAAGCTTTGATGGATGAATCGAAGCAGAGTGTAGAATCTTGCCCGTGGTTACGTCTGTGTTCAGACTACAGGATGTGAAGGTCGGTGTTTCCTCCCATTTAGTGGACCACCCACTCCATCTCCTGAGCTACAGGGCCTGAAAACTAGTTCAGGATTCTGCACCAGAACCATCACAGCATTTGTGGGAATGAAGCATATGTTTTTAAAAAACTAACATTTTTCTTCATGCGAAAAACAGAAAAATAGCTTTTTGCAAAATACCGAGCGGTTCCTTTAAATAGACGCGGGCACATTAAAGACAAAGAGTGTCATGAGATGCACATGAAACTATAAAGCATCGATATCTGGTATTGTGTCGTCTCAGTCCTGATACTGGAGATTACTTTTCCAACAGTTACTACCCGAGCTGACACGTTTCTCACCTTCTCATGAATGATCATCAGTAAAGTTCTGCTGTTGCTCATCACTCTTCCAGCATCCAGCTCACCTCAGGTTATGATTACACTTTGTTTTAAAATAGCAAACACCCCCACCCCACCCAAAAACAAACAAGAGATTTTCTTGTGGAGAATAATGCTTGTTAAAAACATCTGCTTGTTATACAAGAACGCCCCCACATGCTGCAGAGGGCACTGCTCCTCTCGGCTTTCTAAAAAGGGTAAAAGTTTGAAATCGATTAAAAAAAAAACTGCACAGAGCGCCTGTGATGAAGGGAAACTCGAGACACAGCTGAAACATTCATTACACTGACCGTGATTTTTTATTTCACTGAGACAAATCTATTTATCTCGAGGTTACTCATTTTCCATCTCTGTGTTTAGGAAAGGCTACTCAACCGTGCCGTTGACAACGCCACCTACACAGCTGGGGAGAGCCCTCTGGGGCGCCCTTCAACCATCATTTTTACCCTTTCTTTAACCCTGATCGTAACCACAACTCACAAACCAACCAGTCTGACCTTGCCGCAGCGCTGGGGCAGCTGTCTCGGCCCTGCAGCCCACCTGTCAAACCCACGCCCGCTTTAAAACACTTCACATTTGACTCTTGGCAATCCTACCGTCCTCGTAGAAGACGTCCTCCGCTTCTTCGCGCATCCTCTCATCCAGGTCGTCCTCTGCAATGTCGGTCACGGCCATCACTATTCCTCCTCTTCTTTCTCTTCTTCTCTCCCTCTTGTCTTCCTTCAGCCTCAGAGAGAGAGAGCGACTGGGCTGTAAAAATTGAATCGACGCCGGCCCGGCCTCTTCGCTACAGGCGACAGTCCGATCGCCGGCAGGCTCCTCGCACAAGCAGGAGGGGACAGGGACTGAGCTGAGCTTCAGCTCTCCGCACGAGAACGAGTGCGTAAGTGCCAGGTGAAGTGTGTGTGTGTGGGTGAGAGAGAGGACTCCCAGCGACCTTCACCAAGTTTCAGCAACAGTGCTGATTTCATAACATCCTGTGCAAGGCTGAAGTGAGAGCGTGCCGGTTGGAGAGCACTTGTATGAGTAACTGTGCGCATGTGTGCGAGCGTACAGCACGGGGAGGATCAGTAGTGTGTACATGTGTTTCTTCATGTGTGTGCGTGTGTGTCCATATGCACATTATGGCTCTCCACAATGAGTCAGCTCAAGCGCCTGGTGATTTAACCAGAATAATTAGATTCTTTATTTTAAGCCAGCAAGGACATGCAAAGAGGGTGTGAAAACACACCCTGTGTGTGTGTGTGTGTGTGTTTGTGTTTGACATGGTGTGTGAGACATGAAGCTGGCTCTGCTTGTCATTCCTTCACAGCTCACTAGGAATCATGGGACCACACTGATCGCTCCCTCTATTTTTTTTTCTTTTTTGTGACCCGCTGTGAGGAGGCCTTGGCAGAGCCCGTAAAGTCTGTTGTCATCTGCTGTTGCTGAAAGCCTCCACAGAGCTGCTCATGCAGCAAATAAGCACACTCACCTGCTCTGAAAGAGACAGATTTAGATTCAGACAGAGTGGGAGAACCTCTCGCAGAATAGTAGTTTTTACATTTCAGTCTTTTGCTCAAGACTACACTGAGTCACACACTTGAAATCTGTGTTTAGGAAGCGCAAACAGAGATTTCTGGCCTTTACAAATATGCTTTAAAACAGCCTAAAGCCTTCGGATTCTTTCATTCTCAGTGTTAAAGTATTCAGTCAACTTTTAGTACAGTACACAATTGTTTAGTACAAGATTTCTCTTTAGAAGCAATGCTTGACTTGAGTGATGCATCTAAAAAGTGACTAATTTATCTTTGGACTGGATATTAATCCTGGTCTCTGTCATCTGTTCCATATAATCATGCATTTATAGACAGGGCGTTTGCACGTGTGAATAAAGAGATGTCGCCTCCAGCTCTTTGTCCTTTATAAATGAATATTTTTTTCATTTCACCTGAATACACAACAATCTGATAAATCTTGCTGACTGCCAAGGTTTTAAGGTCTTTCTATAAATCGCAGAGAACAGAAACAAATGTAATGGTCATTGTAAATGTCTCCGGTGGAACAAGAATTAGAGTCTACAGTGATACTAGCACCTCTCCAAGTCTGTGGTACTTATTGACCATACAGCTGTGCGTTCACCTCCACTCATCACAGGTATGAATGTAGTGGTAATTTTGGGCTTTTAATGTTTTCCTTGAGCTGTTGTTTTTCCAGGATAAGATGAATAAACAGCATACGTCTTCAATGGACTTTAAAAAAATAATTGGGTGGAAAAGTTTCAAGTTTCAAAGTTTAATTGGTTAGAAACATGTTTCCCTGCAGGACAAAAAAAAAATCTAAATATGAACTAAAGAAAAAAAAATCATAATACAAAAAACAATTAAAAACAAATAGTAAAAACAGCAGATGAGAAATACAGTAGAAATATAAGATAAATGCTTATGGTGACCATCAACAAACTTCCGGTATAAGCAGAAGAAATCACTAAAAGCCCCAAACCCCAAAATGAGCATCTGACCTCAACTGGACATCCTCAGTCTTTATCTGCAGGTATCAGCATGTAATACCTTTAAATCCAGTAATTAAGAATGCAAGAAACAAATCATTTAATGAGATTAACAAAGTAAAGCCCAATGCTTCATGGACAGGAATTTAAATAGATATAAATTACTCACAAGTGTATTTATTTTGAATTTATCAGAATTTCAGGAGCTGGACCAGACCCCACTACCCTACTGGTCATACATATATAATCACTCACCCCACACACCCGTTTATTCTCATTCCCTACTTTAGCTGCAGCTGTCACCTTCTCTCAAAGGTATCAAGCTCAGGAGCTGCTGTGGATCCTCAGTGAGGCTTTCTCCAAACCAGATTGGTGCTTTACTCTCACTAAATGTTTGTCACCTGCATTTGGCGTTTGAGTCCTTGTTACTGAATAGTTTTTATGCCATGCGCCTGGAGGAATTAAGGTAAATAAGTCTTTAAAACTGTAAGAAATCTTGTCAGGTAGTCTAATGTTTAGCAGCTTGACCTAAATAGAGATAAAGGGGGTTAAACAGCACAGGCTGGCACTGAACTCATGTGTTGTGCTGTTTTAGAGAAAAACAAAAGCATGTAAAACGGCTTGGATATATTTTTGGAGTCCTGTTATGTTGTGTTGCTTAATGACAAACTCTCTAGCGCACTTTATAAGTCTGAAGTAGTTTTCCAGCTTTTTAAAAAGCTTTGGTCCATCCCCAGGAGGCCCTTTACCAGCCTCTTTCAAGCATTTCATGTCCACTCCTAAATTACTGCTAACATGCAGCGCTTTGTGTCTTTTTGACCTTTAATTTATTCTTAGATGGAAACGGTTTGTTTTTTTAAAAGCAGGCAGACAGAACTTTCTTCCTCTTTCTCACTCTGTGCCTACATCTGCCAGAAAGCAGTTTCTCTGACTCACCCCATTTAGACAAACCAATTTCAAACCAAAATAGAAAGTAGGCCTCAAGTCAGTTCATTATCACTTTTCCTTCAGACTTCCTCTCCCCAGCCGCTGGCTCCCTTCAAGGCCAAAGCTTGAGGGAATAAACTCATTTTCACTGGGGCAAGTCCAGACAATCCGGACACATCGCAAAAGGACGCGCAAAGAATGTGAGACCAAAGAGTTGTTTTAAGAACGTCTTTGGGTTGAGAGAAAGGCTCGCTTTATAAGAGTATTTCCTGTTTGTGTGAGGTCGATAAGAGGAACAGAGTGTGTCGTGTTTGTTAGAGATGTGTTCAAATCTTATCTGCCAATCTGAAGCAACACAGAATCTGTGAAGATGGCTAAAACTGGCCGCTGCAACTCAAAACCCAAAGATGAAGTCATTCAAAAAAGAGAAACAAAGAAATCTGGCCCCAAATTCTGATTTTAACCAATTCAATTATATTAAATTTTCCATGTAATTGTATTAAGTAAATACAATGTAAATTAAATGTCAAATGAATTTTACTTAGTATACATTCAGTTCATACCAAACATGTTTTCCATCCATCCATCCATTCGCTTCCGCTTATCCTTTTCAGGGTCGCGGGGGGCGCTGGAGCCTATCCCAGCTGTCATAGGGCGAAAGGCGGGGTAGACCCTGGACAGGTCGCCAGTCTGTCACAGGGCTAACACACAGGGACAGACGGGGGGAGAACGCAAACACGGGGAGAACATGCAAACTCCACACAGAAAGACCCCGGCCTGATGGTGGAATTGAACTCAGGACCTTCTTGCTGTACGGCAACAGTGCTAACCACCGTGCCACCGTGCTGCCCCCAAACATGTTTTCCTTTACAATTAATTATTTGAATAAATAAGCCTTTGATTTGATATATTTTAGTTGTATTTTACTCAGAATTATTGCTTTATATTTATTGAGGGTCCACGTTTCCATGCACAGCAGTCAGCTGCTTCCATAGGAATTAAGACGTAAGGAAGCATCCAGGTTGAGCACCAGTAAATATCAGCACCTCTTTAAAAGTGGATGTTTTCATAGTTTGTAGGTCTGCAACATTCAGGTGCCACAGTCTTCCCTGCAAATTCACCCAAGGTCAGAGTGTGCAATGCTCAGAGAAACGGCAAACAAATAAAATGAAGAGTAAGAATTTTAAGTAACTGTATGTTGATGAAAACTGTGCATGAGAGCAATCTGAAAGGCTTCTTCTTCTGAATGCTGTCTTGTAATCACGCAGCCCTGCAAAGATCTTTCTCTTCGATTAACGCGACAAGAACCACACTGCAAGTTAAACTCGAGTGTCGGACTAAGTGACGGATCATAATTAATGCTCGCCAACCAGACTGCTGCTTCACGGCTAACAGCAGTGACATTTTGACTCGCTGCTCTGTGTCGCAGGGAGCTAGAGTCACTGGTCAGGCAGGCAAGTAAACAGAAAACACAGTGACACATGCAAAGCAAAGCCCACTGTCTTATGCAGACTCATCCCACTCCCATCTGTGCACTCCTATAACGAGCTGGTTCTGCTGTTGACTGTGTCATCATTATGTGCAAAACATTGTTGTTGTTGTTTTTCCCTTAAACCGAGGCTCACTTTATTCAATGCAAAAATGGTACATGCAGATGTCGGAAAATATAGGAGCTTCTCTTCTCTCTCTTTCTGTAACCGTGAACTGTTGCCGGCCTGCAGCGCCAGAAAATGGGGTCAGCGTTTGCCCTGCTGCATTTCAATGGCCGGCTATTTGTTCTGACCACCAGAGAAAAAGCCCCTGCTTCAGGAAATGCAAATACACAACACCACGCATACGCACAAATTACTCTTACACACATATGATACAACTGAACACACACAAACACAATACCGCCAAAACAAAACACAAACAGACAAGTGAACACAAAAACACGCATACACAGTTGTAACTGTCGCACAATCAGACCGGCTCTGTACAATGGTGCCGTTTGAATGGGGTCAAACAATGGAGCTCTTTGGCATCTGAATCGAGCCAGATGATGAGTATCCCAGGAGGCTGAATAGGCGGCTTCAGCCTCCTACACAGCCGCTCTGCTGGCCCTGAAAATATGCATCAGTATGCTGCCTGTTACCACGGCTTAAAATATCAGTTATTAGCATGAAAGCAGCAG